CATAATTACATAATTAACCAATGTGAGGATGGATATAAAAATAGATGACAATGGGAAGGGGTATTGTTAAATCCTCGGAAGTTACGACCCGGCAGAGACTGCCTTGTTACTGCCCTGCCGCGATTGGCTAAGACGCGGCAGACTGGAAGCGGGAGAATCTGAGCCGCGCCATTGGTCGACCATCTGACAGCTTGGTATTTAAGCAGCTGTCAAAGGGCTGAGTTCGGAGAGTTGTTCTGAGGCACCTGTTGTGCTGTTTTGGAGTTGTATTAATAAAGAGTTATTTGCCTAGCCTTGTCTCCACGCCTTGTTCTTCAAATAGAGCATTGGCGACGAAGGTGGGATCCTGAGGCGACGGCTACCTAACCCTGTTCCATACTCACCCGCCAACTTCGACCATGTCAACATTTCTGCCGGTGTTTTCGCCGTTCGTGCCAGCGTCCGAGACATGGGACACGTATATGGAACGTTTCGAATGTTTTTTACAGGCGAATGCGCTGACGGATCTCTCCAGTGCTCACAAACGAGGCTATTTTCTCAGCTCCTGTGGGAGCGAGATATTCGGCACTGCCAGGGCATTAGCCGCCCCTCAGCAAGTTTTCGATGTTCCATGGGAGACGTTGCTGGACAGATTGAAAAACCACTTCTCCCCTGCTCCGTCCCGCATCGCGCGCCGACATGCCTTTTTGCAGTGCACACAAACTGAGGGTGAAACCGTAAATGACTACATGGCATCCCTGCGGTCCACAGCTATCCACTGTGAATTTCGTGACTTAGATGAAATGCTGCTGGATCAGTTGGTGTGCGGGATCAAGGACCTGAAATTATAATGGCGCCTGCTGGCCTGGTCTGAACTGACCCTCCAGGTAGCCCTGGATGAAGCGAGGGCTGCTGAAATGTCTGGTTGTTCAGGCGCAGAGATTCAAAGATTCCAGTCGCCCTCAACGACCACCGCAAAGCCCTTGTCTGTCCATTACAAAGAGTCAGACCCAGTCGACTCCTCTGACGAGGATTGGGCAGTGAGCCGCCCCAAGGCAACCCGTCGAAAGCTTGGAACACCAATCAAGCCCAAACAGCTCGCACAAGGCAACTGCCTGGGTTGTGGCGGTGACCATCGCAGATCCGACTGCCGTTTCAAATCAGTCGTATGCCGCCGCTGCGGAAAAAGGGGTCACCTTTCGAGGGTCTGCAGAGCGCCAAACCCCATGTCTGAGGCTCCGACCGCTCCACTGATGGATCGTCGCCAGGCCCGGAAAACTGCTGTCCGCCGCGACGAGTGTTTTGCCGTGACCCGCTACGATAATCCGCTTGATGTTGCTGTGAGCCACACCACTTCCCCCTCTTCTGCCAGCAAACTTTTCCTCACAGTAGTCCTGGAAGGAGCGGCGTGTCGGATGGAGGGCGACACCGGCTCTTCCAAGTCCCTCATAGTATGGTCCACTCTTACTAAATTACTGCCGAGGGTGTCCTGCCGCCGGCTTAAGCCGTGCCCCGTCCTTTTAAAGGACTATCAAGGGAAGTCTATCCCCACTTTGGGGTATGACACTTTCAAAGTGTCCTATCAGTCATTCACTGGCTCGCTGCCTTTAATCGTTGTGAGGGACAATTTGCCTAGCCTGATCGGGCTAGATTGGTTTGCCGCCTTAAACTTAACTATCTCCGGTGTGCATTCAGTGTCCCTTGATGTTTCGTCCACCCTGGCTAGGGAGTTCGCTGATGTCTTTTCTGATCAGCTTGGCAAGCACACAGGCCAACCTATATCATTTAATCTGGACCCTCAAGTAATGCCAGTTCGCCTCAAGCCTAGAAGGGTGCCGCTGGCCTTGCGGCCGCGGGTGGATAAGGAGCTCGATAAGCTCATTGCCCAGGGAATTTTAGTTCCCATTGATCCATTGAGGATGAAGGGTAATATTGGTTTTTTACAAAAATAGATGAGGAATAAATATGGCAAAAAGGAAATATAGAAATTGTAAATTTAATTGAAATGACTAAACACTGTTTAAATTTGTGAACCAGCCAAATATTCTGTTCAAAGAAAATACATTATATGTTTGTATGTGTGTTTCTAATTATTGCTATTTATTTATATTTGTTCTCTTTTATTCTTTAAAGTTTAACAATTCATTCTTTATCTTAATATCTTTATATTTGCTTGGGGTTGGCTTTCTTCCCTTTCATCTTTTTTATTGTACAGCAATCTTTCTCCTCAAACCTACCACCTCTCTCTTTTCTTTCCTTCTTACTTTCTCTTCCCCCCACCCTCTTTTTCTCCTCCCTACTTCCTCTTCCTTTCTCCTTCTCCTCCTCTCTTCCTCCCTCTCTTACCCTCACTCCTACTCTAATTTCCCTTCCTTCATCCCTCTCTATTGCTGTATCCTTTATTGCATATGGACTACTCAGAGGACTGAAAAAGTTATTTTTGACTGGTCCTCGCACTTTTGACCAGTCCTCAAACTTACGACTGTCCTCACATTTTACGTTTTTTGCCCTATCTTATCACCATGGTGAAGAGAAGCAGTTGTGAAATGAGTGACATGGTTGTTAAGAATGCTGCACGGGCATAAATGTGAGGATGGTCATAGTGTGAGGACCAGTCAAAAGTGCGAGGACCTGTCAGAAATGACTTTTTTCAGTCCTCTTGGTAGTCCCTATACACATAGCCATGGCCACCCGGTCACATGACCAGCTAGCCACGCCCACCAGTCACATGACCTCCAAGCCACGCCCACAATGGTGTCCCTCTTTACCAATATTAAAATCTGGTCACCTTATTTTAAAGACAAAGCAACTCCCACCTTCCTGCCTCCCCCCCTTTGTTAATGGGCCAGAGGCAGAAACTCAATCTTTGACAATAGGATCCATCTGCAACACAATAGGACAGAAACTCACCACATGGCACCTGGGAAGATTACATCAACCAGCAAGGCTAGCTAAGACTCCCACCCCCTGGGAGTCTGACAACCAATCAGGATACTCTTTCGGGGCCCCAGGAAGTTCAAAGCCAGAGAAAGCATAAAACCCGGGGACTCCCTGTATCTCACCCCTTTTCTGTTCAGGAACCCAAGCCATGTGATCCTGTCCACCATTAAACCATCTTTCCAAGCAGTCTCCATGTTTCCAGTGTCTTTTTCCCCACTTGGAGCTGAACCCAGAAGGATATTTCTTCTAACAAAACAAATACAAGCACAGCGTTCAGAGGTGTTGGAAGAAACATCCTTCTAGGTTCTGCTCCAAGTGGGGAAAACAGACACTGGAAACATGGAGACTGCTTGGAAAGATGGTTTAATGGTGGACAGGATCACATGGCTTGAGTTCCTGAACAGAAAAGGGCAGATACAGTAAATCCTTGGGTTTTTATGCTCTCTGGCTCTGCATTACTTGGGGCCCCGAAAGAGTATCCTGATTGGTTGCCAGACTCCCAGGGGGTGGGGGTCTTGCTGGCTGATGCAATCTTCCCAGGTGCCATGTGGTGAGCCTGTCTAGATGGGTCCCATTGTGTTAGTTTCTGTTGCTATTGTGTTGCAAATGTCCTTTGACAAAGGATTGGGTTTCTGCCTCTGTCCCATTAACAAAGGGTGGGGGCAGGAAGATGGGAGCTGCTTCCAAACAGTTATCCCAGGGAAATATAATATTCTGCCTTTTTCATATTTCCTAAAATATTTCACTCTTCCAGGAAAGGGGTGGGTGCTAACTTCCTACAGAGGCTAGCCTGTTTGAGCTGTAAGAAAAACCCTTTTTTTATATCCTAAAAGGTCTTTTGATTTTTCTATGCGACCCTTTAAAGTCTTTTGAAATTCTTTTGATTTGGCATGTGAATCCTTTGATTTGTGTGTGTGATTGTTTTATGGTGTTTAAATCCTGCTTTTTTGTGATTGGGTTCTTCCGTCCTGGATCTGGCAAATAAGTAATTGTTTGCTAACTTCCTACAGTCCCATCTCTGTTTTTCCTAGCCCTTTGTAGTTGTTCGTTCCCTATAATTAATCAGTTTGTTATTATTATGTTTTAGTGAATATCTCCTTTTCTCATGTGTTTAAAATTCTAATTACTTTGGCTTGATTTCTTTTCCTTTTTGGGTGTTTGCTTTTTTCTGTGTCCCATACCTGTTTGGATGTTGCAGGCCCCTGTAATTTTGTCCTTCCTTTTGTTGTGGAAAACAGGGTGGCTTCAGCTTCTTAATGGCCCATTGACAAAGGTGGGGGCTGAAACTCTACCTGAGTTTCTGCTTCTTTTCTTTTAGGGGAATTTTCCTGCTCTTTTAATATTTTTTGAGTTTCTTTTCCTTTTTCTAGGAGAAGAGTGAATCATATCTTCCAACAGTACCGTGACCACAAGACCAAATCACAATAAATAAAATTAGTAATGAAATGCTATCCAGGTGCTGGCATTAATATGTCACCCGGGTTGAAAAGTAAACCATCTTCCTAGAAAAAGAAGATCCCAGGACAGAATATTAACAGGCAGAAAGCTCCAGCTCTTGTGTATCTTGCTCCCTTCCTTGCCGACTTTGTTAACTTTAGGTGAATTTTAAAGTTAATATGTATTATTTTAATATTTTATTGTTTTATCCGGTTGCTTTTACTTGGTTGCCAAGAGTCGCCTTTTAAAGTTGCCTTTAGGTGAATGGGCGGCATGTTAATTTAATAAATAAATACATAAGCCCCACACTCTGGCCCACCATTTTTTTTTTTTCTCAAAAAGCAACCGGCCTCTTCCCCGTCACCTACAGGATCGGATAAGCCCCGCCCCTCCAGGAAGAACCCAATTTGCCAAAGGGGGCGGGGCGACGAGGGCTGGGGCGGAAACCGGAAGGAGGTGCAGCACCGGCTGCTGCTTGGCTGCAAAAAAAAAAAGTGCCGCAAGTCGCCGAGGCCGTTTCTTGTCTTCTCTGGTGCGCCTAGACTGCTCTGCAGGGGTGTAGCGGAAGAGGCGCCTGCGCCGCCGCCGCTGCTCGGAGTCAGCTGGAAAAAGAGCGAGGAGCGACCAGACGAGAGAGGTGGGAGCGGCGCTCAAAATCTTGGTCGCCGCTTTTCTGCATCTCGGGACTCTCCTCGCCTTTCTCCGTTGCCTTCGACGGGGAGAGGAACTAATCATTGCCAAAGGACTGAATGGACCCACCCATAGCTTTCAGGGAGAAATTGAAGCCAGGATTTACCAAGCCGAAATAGAGGGTCTATTTGGGAGAGGAGACTCCTGGAACGTAGGAACTCATAGCGCAGTCTGCTCTCCTTTTACAACGGAATAGATGGGTCGCTGTGAGATAATAAAATTAATAAATTTATTATATATTTATTATGATAAAATTATTCCCTATGGCTTTTCCCTTCCAAAACAAAAACAAGAAAACGCAGTTGGGCAATTTTGCTTGACAAAGATGTTATTACAATACTCGGCTCAGAATGACAATTTAAAACAGGAAAAGGCTATTTAAACCTGTAAAGAAAGACAAATATTTTCTTGCCTGGTAGAGTAGTCCTCGGAGAGCTTGCTTGCATAAAATGGGCATGAGCTATTAGTGCCGCAAGTTAGAAGGATGATTTTTATGCTTTCCGACAATAAATTAGCTGGAGAGCTCATTTGTATTTTTCTAACCAGAACAAAGCTTACTGCCTGATAGAATGTGCTCAGAGAAAAAAAGGCAGCAATTAATTACTTGGTACACTTGATAGTGCACTTAAATAAATATCTATTAATGGGTAGAGAAATCCTGCAAAGCCAGTGGGAAGCCTACCCCTCTCCCACCCCCTTATCACTTGAGCTTTGCACTTGTTTTCTGTATCTTTAACTTGCCTATTTTTTTCTTGAAACCTCTTTGTTTAATGGTGGCTATTAAATAATAACAGAGCATTTGGGGCAAATCATTAAAATGTGATATTTTCAGAAAGGAACAGGCCAGCAATAACCCCCGCCCCAAACAAAAACAGAACCCCACCCTAAATTTGCTATCTTGCCATCTCACTATGATGTTTGAAAAGTTCTTTTTTTAACTAACAGCTGTTTAACTTTACCTGAATTTCAGTTAACTCAATATTACATAAAGTTGTTATAAAGAAAATGAACTTTTGGAATAAGCTATGACATTTACATATGTATTAATAATCAGCCCCACAAACTTTTATAACTTGCAGTTGTGTATGCTATTGTAAAAGCCTTATTTATAAGACCTCTGTGACTGCCCATCTCATATATCATAATCCTGGGCAGTTCACAAAACAATAAAAACATCAAAAAGTAATAAAAAATCTGTAAAAAAAAACCTTGCAAAAAGAGAATAATACCGATGAAATAAATAAATCTACTTGGATATGATATTAATAAGAGTTACTTGCTGAAGTATGGAGAAAGGCGGCATAAAATATAATTGCTATAATTAAATCTGCCTTTTTATTTTCAGAGACTTACAAACTTAAGCTTTATTTTAAATAAGTTTCAAATGTAGGTTGCTGGGAAAACCAGGGTGTAACATTCTATATGAAATATTACTTTAAATTGTCTAAAGTTTTTTTTTTTTTTTACTAATTCTTATCATCATTATGCAAAGGCTTATACTAGATTGGAATCAACTCTGCAATCAAATAACATTGGCTGGTTTGGAAAATTAAGTCATTTTTAAAAACAGGAGTAAAGTTGGTCTTTTTTCAATGTTGCTTGTGGAACTGTTCCTAGAGTCTTTCATAAGCATTGTTTAGAATACAGGTAGTCCTCAATTTACAACCACAATTGAGCCCCAAATTTATGTTGCTAAGTGAGAAATTAGTTAAGTGAGTTTTGCCCCGTTTTATAACTTTTCTCGCCTTCCTCCTCCTCCTCCTCCTCCTCCTCCTCCTCCTCCTCCTCCTTCCATATCCGTTATCAGACATCGGCGATCATATTGGCGATCCTATTTTTATCAACAGCCGCATGAAAAAGTGCTGCTGAGTTTTGTCCAAACCAGTTCCTTAGATTTTGAAGCCATGATCATCATCTTCTGCCTGGATCTTATTTGCCTTCAATTTTTCCTTGGAGGATTAAGTAAAGTATGACGTATTTTTCCAGGTGTCATATCATATGTCCAAAATATTCTAACTCATGCTTTTTTATGGTTTTGATGATTTCCCTTGACTTTCCCAGGCAGCTTTCCCAGTGAATCATTGCAGTTCTTAAATTAGTAACACGGTTGTTAAGTGAATCTGATTTCCTCCTTGACTTTGTTTGTCAGAAGATCGCAAAAGGAGATCACATGACTATGGGACATTGCTACCGTCATAAATGTGAGTCAGTTGTCAAGCATCCAAATGTAAATCATGTGATCATGGCGATGCTGTAATGGTCATAAGCGTGAAAAATTGTCATAAGTCACCCTTTTCAATACCGTTCAGTAACTTTGAACAGTCATAAATGAACTGTTGTAAATTGAGGACTACTTATATCTGCTCTGGTCTAGTCATTGCAGAAAAAGCTAAAACAGGAGGGAATACAACTTTGCAGCCAAAGGCTTCTACTGCTCAGATTTTCTTTTTTTGGAAATGGCTTCAAAATACTTATAAAACAAATTTAAAATGGAGAGCGGATTACAGTTTATATTGTTACTCTTGTGAGAAGTGGGATAAGAGAAATATATTACTGTGACCAAAATCATAGATGCTAGTGTACCAGAAAATCCATCCCTCTTTATGGAATAGAAGTAAACTTATTGCACCAACACATACATCCGATCTACAGCCATCATGTTACAGGTATTTGCATTTGTAAACAAAAATCCAGCTGTTCTTAATAAAATATGCTGAAAACGTATAAAATCATCTTTTTTCATGATGGAAACACATGGAGGATGGGACTCTTCACAAATTTTTCAAAGAAAAATTTACTGTGTTTCAAATGCATCACACCTAAGTCAAAATAAATTGATTCAGCTCTCCCACCTCTGCAATAGGATCGCAGAAATGGAATTGCTTTCACACTGGTTTTGTCCTTCTGTGGAAGCACCTGTTGTGATCTCAGAAAATGCTTAGTATTTGCTAATCCGTTGAGATGAGATGAATATAAGCTTCAAATATTTTTGGAGGGACTGGGGAATGAAAACAGTGCTGAAATTCTTTACATGCTGACATATTTTACTTCTTTTCACTTTTAGGTACTACATTGTCCACTAATTGTGATTCAGAGGATTGAATTGAACCTTCAAAATATTGGCCACTTGGTTAAAACTGCTCATTTCAACTTGGAATCTAATTTGAAGTAAGATTTGTGCTTCCTATTCACTAGCATGGAAAAACCACAAATAACTAACTTTTTAATCCTTCAACCACATGAAATAACATTTCCAGGAAAAGTAGATTTTAAAAAAAAAATTATTTAGTTTCTTACAATGAAATGAGGACCATACAAGTTCCAAATCTATAATTTGGATTTTAAAAATCATAATACAGTTAAACCATAGCCTCAAATGTTGAAAACCACATATACTAAAATCAGATACTTTATTTTAAATTTAAAATAATCACTTGAGAGATAGTTGTCGCAACTTTGTCCCTATTGAAATAGCCCAGTCTTCACAAACTTTCTAATTAGGAGAGAGGGGAGCATTTGAATGTCTGGAGATGGTATTCCAATGAAGGAGGGCACTAATTTAAAACATGTTTCCCTGGTCTCTGTTGTTGGCAATCTCCAATAGAGGGAATGTGTACTCTGCTAGATGTTGCAGGTTGGACAGATGTTATCAGGAGAAACTACTCTCACAGATAATCTAGGCCCTGATACATTAAGGTCTTTAAAATTGATAACCAGCATCTTGAATTCCACCTAAAATCAATTGGCAATCAATGCACCTTTCAGTAGTTGTATGAGTTCTGTGAACAAGTAAATTCCATTTTACTATGTCCTCCATACATTATAGACAAAGGTCTCTTATAAAGCACTATAACTAAAACACTCTTGATGAACATTGCTTATAAGCGAGGAGATAAAGTTATTGTTTGACTTAATATTTCTTCATATTCTTTCCATTCTAACATTTTAAATAAAATTAGAAAGTGTGGCAGTTTCTGTAGGGCATCAAGCAATCAAATTCTTCATTCAGTCTCAAAGTTCAATTTGAGTCATGTAGACAAGCCACTTTTGTGGTTTGGGATCTGTCTGCCCCTTTCCAATTATACCAATATAGGAGAATGTTTGTAGATCAGAGTTGAAATGAGGGGTCCTTGGTGTTATCGGAGCTTGGTTTTTTTCAAGAGGCAACTGGACTTTCTTGGGTTTTTTTAAAGATGTTTCGTTTCTCATCCAAGAAATTTCTTCCAACCAACTAGCAGTTGATGAAAAAACTCTTAATCTCACAACACATGAAGAGATTTGATCATAGTTTCAACTGGAAACTATGACCACTGTGACCACTCTAGACCAAGCCAAGTCCAAAAATGTTAAAAGAATTCTTGGAAGCCTGGCACTCTGACAAATCAGCCATCAGTAAGCCCACAGACATAAACAACATTTACATACTGTGCAAAAGAGACAACAACTCCCAAAGGGAACAAAAAAGACCAAAACACCGTCTCACTAGCAATCAACACATAGATGAGCATAGACTAACATCAACATTAACATCAGACCAACAATCAAGAAATAAACAATATCCCAATCAAGGAACTGCTAAACAAACTAACAATAAACAGCCCAACCAAAGAACATCCAAGATCACTCCTACCAACACTGAAAGGGCAAGTCACTAGAATATAAATTGCCAGCAAACCTCATTCCTTATTAGACTGATGATTTTACATAGTTTGGGTAATGAGATGGCTGCAAGAAAATAAACTCAGAGAGCATCAAGGACTCCCTCGCCCCTTTCCATTTATGTTTGGTTGAATCCAGTATAAATTGTAGCCCTGTTTTTTTTAAACAGAAAGCTTCCAAAGCAATATTTAAATGTTTATATCAGAGACTAGACTAGACTAGACTATCAATATTATATATTTCTTTTTCTCATATGCCTTTTCTCATAATTCTTTCAAAAGCGTTTGGCTGGCATTTGGTAACTACTTGTTTTTTGTTTGTGCTTTTAAGTCAAGTGTTGACTCCTGGCAACTATCTGGACAAGTCCCTGCAGTTTTCTTGGTAAGATTTCAGAAATGGTTTGTCATTGTCTGCTTCTTAGGGCTGAGAAAGAGGGAGTGGCCCAAAGAGAAAAGGCTTGACTGTGCTTAAGGCAGGTCTAGAACTCACAGGCTCCTGTTTTCCAGCCTGATGCCTTAATCACTATACCAAGCTGACTCTCAACTGCTTGAGGTCATATAATTTAATTTTATTGTAAATAAATGCTTAGTTTCTTTCCCTAATTAAAATGTTTGAAAATTAACTTGTACAGAGTCATTTAAGTTTAAGATATTAAATAAATGCAAATTGTAGGCTTTAAAAGTACTAATGCCACTTTTTAAACTCAATCAGATAACAAAAAATCCAAACAAGTTGGAGGTTCTGCAAGTAAGTTGCAGCAGGGAGAAACAGCTTCTATTAGAATTTTAGCCATTTTTTCTTCTCTTCTGTCTCCATGTCCGTTTTTAATAACTGCAGATCTTGGAATTACTGGAGCATGCCAATACCTTTCATTTGTGCATCAGTGGTGTGACTTCGGTTAAAAATGGGCATGAAAAAGATAGCAGAATTTTAGGGCTGAACTTTCATTTCACAAAATAAGAACTCCGGTAGAGTATAGGAACCAAGATAAATCCCAAAGCCTCTTTTTGGTGGTAGTGGGGGATGGAGAAGGTATAGAAGAAGTGTATATGATCTTCTAATGCCTGAAGTACCTTAATATTTAATATGCCATAGTTATTATAAGCATGGCAGCTTTAGGCCTCCATTGGGAGGCTATTATTTTGCATTTTTCTCTGAATAGTCATTAAGTCTATAGTTGGAACATGATTAATTATTTCTCTTCTCTCATCGTTGACATTTCTGCTTAAAAGTTGTTTTCACCTTCTAATCTGACCTACCTCTCTTCTTCCTTTTCTCTCATCCAGCAGTCTTCAGCCAAAATCTTCTAAGCATCATGCTGGCACTTAGCTAAGAAGCTGGCTAGGTGTCATCAATATTCCTCCTGGCCTGGTCATCTGTCTCATCTTTTAAACCTGTTTTCGTTGTAACTTCCAAAGGAGTTTTACTTTTAGATATCCCTGACTGTAGCCCAAGCACACATTCACCTAATGTTGGATAAAACCCTTTGGTAATATCATATTGAAAATTAGAGAGATTACTTATAATCAACATTAGGAGGATTATATCATGTTAAGACTTGCTTTGATCATTTGAAGACAATGGACAGTCAAAAACAGAAAAATTTGTATTTTCAGCAATGCAGCTTGTGTGCCAAATGGGCTTGAGCTGTTACTGCAGTCACAGCTTGCTTGGAGAAAAGCCCACTAGAACTTTTTAAATGCAAAAATAAGCACAGCGGGAGTGGTTTGCAGCAGAAATTGGTCTAGCAGTTGGCTTGTCTTTATATTTGCTATTGTACTTGACAAATAAGGAATTTGTTTTTGACCTAGTCTCATACCCAAATTCTGTGTTAAAAGAATGCTATTTATATAATCATTGAACTTGGGGGTTAGCAAATGTATTTTCAGAAATTGCCTTTTCATTTGAAGGTGTTCGATGAGCTAATTTATGCGTGGCATGAGCTTCCTTGAGAACGTTGCCCTGACTGGGTGGAAAAACAAACACGAATTGCTTTAAAAGTTTGCTGCTAGGAGTATTTAAATCACAAAAATGAAAAAATCTTTCCATATATCAGAACTAGCAGCATTTTCTAATGCAAGATGTAGTCGGTGGAATAAAGTTGTTACCCAGGCTGCTGGTGCTTTCATGAGTCGTGGGATTCTATCGGTGGTTATTAAAAAAAAACTCGACGAGGAAAGACTGATTAAGAACGATTCTCATAATGCTGCTATTGCCAGTTTGAGCATCATTGGATCCCATCTTCAGATTGCCCCAGAATTTTGTTTCAGTGATTTAGATTTGGAAAAATTGATTAGATCGATATTTGCCAAGCCAGTTGACCCAGCCATCTTAAGAAACGATACTCAGCTTGAACAAAATTCATTCATATTTGGTCCAGATGCAGCCCTGATTGTGCCTAATGCTCAGGGCAATTTTGTTTTCAATGCTGAACGATTTGATGCTTGGATGGGGCAAGTTTTTGATGCCAACAATCCTGCGCGTTCCCAAAACAATTGTCCTCAGGGTCCACCTGCAGCGGCTAAACCTGCACCTGTAGCCGGGGAAATTCATCCTTGGTTGTTCGGAGGGCTTCTTAATGTGAACCTTGCTGATGGAACTGACAATACAGCTATTCTTCAAGACAATCCTCTTTGGTCTTTTGAACTAGTGGCTCGGGTTATGGTAATGTCACCCCAGGGAAACCGATTTAGAGAAAAAAATTTAGCAAATTTGACCACAGCTGTATTAATAGTAACCTGTGCAGGAAATATTACTCAAGCTAGACTGAACAAAACTCTGAGACAAATCTGTCAAGAGACAGGATCTCAGGATATTGAAGTAGATCGAGATGCTGTGATTGAGGGTTTCCATTGTCTTCGTACCATTTGGGATGGGCAGACCACTGGACAAAACTTTGAAGAGATGTTTACTAATCTTAAAGCAGAAGTTACTAAAACCTCATTGATACTTGGGACTATGGTTGAACAAACAAGAAACAAAATGTTGACTGGAATATTAACTGTTAATCAAGCAATTAGAACATATGAAGATTTTCCCTGGGCAGAGTTAAATGAATGTATAAAAGGAACTACTGGAAAAGATGAGATGGCAGCAGCAGCTGCATTTGGAGATACTGTTAACAATTCCCATTGGATTGGATGGACTTTTGCTTTTAATACTGCCCAGCCAGGACATAATGCAAGTAAGCAATTTCCAAACATTCTTTACACTGCCATTCGCCTTCAAATTTTGGCAGGAGGAGTTCAGTCTCTTAAACAATACCAGGGATTGAAAAATATGACTATATCACTAAGGGCTATTGTTGATGCTTGGGTTGATCAATATGTTCAAAATCTCCACACTGGTGTTAATTATTCTGTTCAACAAGGTGCAGCATCCAGTGTGGTTGATCATATGAGGCAACTTGACTTGACTTGAACATGATGTCATATACAATTCTGTTTTCAGAGGAATAACCTGTTGCATGTAAATCCTGAAAAACTTTGGCACTAGAATTCTGGCACTAGAATTCACCATCTCCTTGTTTTTAGCCTGCTGCCTTTAGCCACTAAACCAAACTGATTCTTGTTACAATTACTAGCATCTTGGATCTAAATGTCAGATTAAAAACAGTCATTTTTCAGGCAAGCTGGACTCTTTGGGACTTCTATGGGATATCCATGAAAAGCCTACTTTTTTATGGGCAGAGAATAGAAGTGGTTTGCTATGGTCTTCTTGGATGATTCTCCAGTCCCAGATGGTCCACCATCCAGCTGCTAATCCTGATTCTGTTTGGCTTTCTAGATGAGCAAGACAAAAACATTGAACATATATATATATATAGAGAGAGAGAGATATCCAAAAGTGTTGTCAGAAATGTACTTTTTTATTAAATTTGTGCGCTACTCATCTCCCTTTCCATAGCAATTTTGAGTGGCTTACAATTATCATAAATTCATAAAATAATAGGGCATAGATAAGAAACTATACCAAGAGTAAAATAGTATGGTGATGGAATCTCCTCTATCCCTCCAGCAGACTTCTCCAGCATGGAGCACCCCCATTGGAGCCCCAAGCCAACTGGCAGAGACAAGTTTTAAGGCTCTTGAGTAAAGCCGAAGAGTGGGGGCAGATCTCACCTCCAGAGACAAAGTCCTTCAAAGGATTGGGGCCACAGCAGAAAAGGTTCTACTAGACCCCACCAGCTGAGTCAGTGCTTTCTAAACATTTGAATAATCAGAGTATTAAGGTTTGGAAAAACATGCATCCTTGTTTCTCTACTGATAGAAACTTATATTTAAGAGCACCCCATTTGTCACAAGGAGGTTTGTATCTGCTGTCTCCTCTTTAACTGTCCACTGAGGAATTCTAAGCTTTTCTTAGAATTTTCTTCCAATCCACAATTGCAGAGATTCACTTAACAATTGTGCTAAGAAAAGTCATAAAATGGGACAATATTTTCTTAAGTGTCTCACTTAGCAAGAGAAATTTGGGGGTCAATTGTGGTCATAAGAATTAACTACAATGATGCAAGATGATGTCCACAGGATTCCACAAATAAAACTTGATTTTATTTAATTCCCGATTCCTATATAATAACAGCTTTTGAGAATCTTGTTAAGGTCATTTTTAGGAAATATAATTAAGCTTCATCAGAATATAAATATCCTGCAAAAAAGAGGGGCCAACACTGAAATTTGTTATATTTCAATATGAATTCAGTGTGGGATTATGTACTGTTATCCAGTACTGTTTTTATTATTAATATATTGGGATAAGAACCAAAAGACTTCCCATACCTATCTTACCACTGGCTTGAGAAATAGGCTAACTTATTTATCAACTGCAAGAAAAAAAATGTTTTTCTTGGTTTCTGTCATTGCTTTGCATGAAAGCCTCAAAATGATTAAGGGCGCACATTATTTTACCATCAGATTGATCCAGAATTAGAAGACTTAACAGTGGCCTAAAGTGGCCTAGTGGCGATAAAAGCGTCGAAATCTAGCTATTTTGCCGCTCTTATCGCGTCATCAGATAATCGCCCAGCCGCCCTGTTTAGGGTGACCCGCTCCCTCCTCCATCTGGAAGCGCGGGATGATCCCTTGCAGGGTCGAGCTGAGGACTTTGTGCAGTATCTGTATAACAAGATCACTCAGATTCGGGAAGGCCTGGCCTCTGACTGGGTAAGTCCGGACGGGATGACTGAGGCAGGTCTTGAGAGTGTTATCTGGGAGGAGTTTGATCCTGTTGCTCCCGAGGATGTGGACAGGATCCTGGGACGGCTGAACGCGACCACATGTTTATTGGACCCGTGTTCCTCCTGGTTGGGACTGGCTTCCCGGGAGGTTACACGAGGCTGGCTCCAGGGGATTGTTAACGCTTCTCTGAGTGAGGGGGTCCTGCCGGCCGCTTTGAAAGAAGCGGTGGTGAGGCCCCTCCTCAAGAAGCCCTCCCTGGATCCGGCTATTTTGGCTAACTATCGTCCAGTCTCCAACCTTCGCTTCGTTGCAAAGGTTGTTGAGAGTGTGATGGTGCGGCAGCTTTCCCGGTACCTGGATGAAGCTGTCTATTTAGACCCGCTCCAGTCCGGTTTCCGGCCTGGGCACAGCATGGAAACGGCATTGGTCGCGTTGGTGGATGATCTCTGGAGGGCTCGGGATAGGGGTTGTTCCTCTATCCTGATCCTGTTAGATCTCTCAGCGGCTTTTGATACCATCGACCATGGTATCATGTTGCACCGGTTGAAGGGGCTGGGGGTGGGGGGCACCGTCCTGCGGTGGTTCTCCTCCTACCTCTCTGACCGGTCGCAATCCGTGTTGACGGGGCAGCGGTCGACCCCGAGGCGCCTTGTTTGTGGGGTGCCACAAGAGTCAGTCCTCTCACCCTTTCTGTTCAACATTTATGTAAAGCCGCTGGGCGAGATCATCTGTGGCTCTGGGGTGGAGTTCCATCAGTACGCTGACGACACTCAGCTGTACATCTCCACCCCAGGCCACCCCAACGATGCCCTTGAAGTGATGTCCCAGTGCCTGGAGGCCATGCGGGCCTGGATGGGGAGAAACAGGCTCCGACTCAACCCTTCCAAGACCGAGTGGCTGTGGCTTCCGGCGTCCCGATATAGCCAGCTGTTGCCATCGCTGGCTATTGGGGGCGAATCACTAGCCCCCACGGAGAGGGCTCGCAACTTAGGCATCCTCCTGGACACACGGCTGTCTTTAGAAGAGCATATGACGGCCCTGGCCAGGGGGCCTTTTTATCAGGTTCGCCTGATACACCAGTTGTGTCCCTTTCTGGATCGGGACTCCCTACGCACGGTCACTCAAGCACTCGTCACTTTCCGCCTGGACTACTGCAATGCTCTCTACATGGGGCTCCCCTTGGGGTGCACCCGGAGGCTGCAGTTGGTCCAGAATGCGGCCGCGCGGGGGATTATGGGAGCGACGGGGCGCTCACATATAACACCTCTCCTGCGCGAGCTGCACTGGTTTCCTGTGGTCTTCCGGGTGCGCTTCAAGGTGTTGGTGACCACCTTTAAAGCGCTCCATGGCTTAGGGCCGGGGTATTTGTGAGACCACCTTCTGCCGCCGATAGCCTCCCACTGACCGGTTCGCTCACACAGAGAGGGCCTCCTCAGGGTGCCGTCGGCCGGGCAGTGCCGGCTGGCGACCCCCAGGGTGAGAGCCTTCTCTGTGGCAGCACCTGCCCTCTGGAATGACCTGCCCCCTGAGATACGCACGATATCAGACCTCCGGACTTTTTGTCGGGCCCTGAAGACACACTTGTTCCATCTAGCTGGGCTGGCTTGATCCCATCCTCTCAGTTTTTTAATCGAATTCGGTTTTAATTGGGTTGTTTTAAATTCGGGCCAAAATTATTTGTTTTTTAAAAATGTTTTTAAATTTTATACGCTATGTTTTATCCTGGCTGTACACTGCCCTGAGTCCCGCAGGAGAAGGGCAGTATAGAAATATAATAAAATAAATAAATTTCATACCTTAGGTATATCCTAAGCTGGGGATAAGTAAAAGTCAAGCAGCTGAATGATATAAGATTTTTTTTTAAAAAAATCCCTCCATAGAAGAGGACATTATCTGGTCCTTCTTCAAGCAGTAAATAATTTAGGGTTGGCATTTGCTGTACTTTAATTTCTTTTGAATAATTGTTTCCAACAGCAGTGTGAAATAATTATTAAATAGTGCTATTAACAATACTAATACCATTCCCAATTGTGCTATGAAAGTTCTTTGTCCAGGGCTATTTTTGACATTAGCATTATATTTGGCATTATATTTGGCAGCTACCAGCATTCCAGCTTCCTCATAATGCACAGCTACAAATGGCCGTTCAAAGTTCTTGTACATTTTAGAGCTCTTAATAGCTGCTTGGTGGCTTCAATTTCCCTTAGTCTCCTAGCATTAATAGGCAATGCTGCTCTTCTAACTTGCAGTCCTTTCCTTCCCCAAAGATATGGTATGTGAACTCAAAGCTTAGCCATGTTAACAGTTGGGTATATAATGCCCTCCTTCCTTTTATGTGAGGCATATAAAATAGTGAAATTTTGGGTGCCTTTTTATGATATACACCTCTCCCCAAATCTGTAATGAACACACACAATACTCCTTCTTCCTCCTATTTTCCTCACAACAACAACCCTGTGAGGTAAGTTGGGTTGAGAGAGATTGACTTGCCCAAAGTCACCCAGCTGGCTTTCATGGCTAAGGTGGAATTAGAACTCAGTCTCCTGGTTTCTAACCTGGTGCCTTAACCACTAGATCAAACTGACTGACAATTGCCATTGTTAAAAATCTAACCATTTCTTCAAAGCATTGCATGGGCTGATCTGTAAGCTTACAAATATATGATAAAGATTTGTTGAAATGCTACTCTGCTTTGTTGAAGAAATGGGCAGTTCATTAATATATATCATTAGACAAAGTGATCTAAAAAGCTCAACAAATTAGCCACTAATCATTGGCCATATCATCCCTCAACATCTTGCATACATCCAATAAGAAATACCCAATATTCATAATTTACAAATGCATTTGTTAATATTTACCCATAAACATAAGAAATCTGACAGCGTAGGCAAGTCTCCAGGCTGAAACCAGATGATATGCATAATTGCACTTAACAATCCCCCTGATGGGTTATTGTTGTTTATTAAATGAAAAGCAGCCTTGGGAAGCTATAATCAGAAATGAGTCAGTAGCAAAGGGAAAAGGTTCTTAATTCTCTTTACCTCTAGCCACTCAAAATGATCTTTCCCAAGCTGCTTTGTTTCTAAGCAGAAAAGTGACAGTATTTTTTCCACTTGGGAAGAAAAGCAGTTGGTGAAAGGCACTTTCAAAAGCAAAAATAAATAAATAAATAAACAGCTGGTAGGGAAAAGCTCCAGCGCTACCTAAGCTATGTTCCTCTTCCTACTGCAGTCTCTGGAAACTGCTGCTTTTTAATAAAATAAAGCATTAGCAGAATGGTACAAATAACCCTAATGAAAACACAAATGTTGATTTTCAGACATCAAAACTAGTGGAAATTATGTAGAATCCTGTCTTGTTTATTAATCTCATCATACACTATCACAGCCATTATCTCATTTTTAGTAGGCCTATTTTGTATCAGATAGAAGCTCAGTAATTGTGTGATTTCTCTAGTCATCACAACCTCACAAAGAAAATACGTTGCCAGATCAGTTCCTTCAAACACATCTGTACCATTTAGTTTGAAAATATACAGGTAGTCCTTCCCTTACAACCATTCATTTAGTGACCATTTTAAGTTACTATGGCACTGGAAAAAATGATTTATGACTGGTCCACACACTTACAACCATCACATCCCCATGGTCACATGTTCAAAATATGGAAATGTATTTACTACCATTGAGTGGGTATGTGATCTCCATTTGTGACCTTCCCACTGGCTTGCAACAAACAATGAACAACAGCAGGAGTCACTTAACAACTGCAGTGATTCACTTAACAACCAAGGAAAAATAGGTTGTAAAATCAGACCTGCCTCACTTAACAAGTGACTTGCTTAGCGACTTAGCGAAATTCTGGTCCCAATGGTGGTTGTAAATCAAGGACCAGCTGTAAAAGTCAGGCCTAAACTCTTATAAAACCATAATTAGAATACGATGAACAGTTTATTTAACCACATAGACTTGCAGAAGACAGTGCCTAAAATAAGTGCTTGGC